GGTCTTGGTCCTGGTCCGGGTTTTGTTTCGAGCATCTACACGTCGCTCCTCCAACTCTCCACGTCGTCACTATCATCAATTGGACCTCCCGGGACATTGGCAGAGATCAACGCCTCTCATCAACCTATGGTTAGGCTGGTATATCCACTACTTTAATTGCTGTATTCTATTCTTTTAACTACCAATAAACGCTTCCCTGTGCACCTCGAGCCACAACGACCACCACATCTATCCCACATTTACTAAATTATCGCTGCGAAGTCTCTCGATTATTCTACGCAGAATATTGATTCATTTAAAGACTAGTGCACCCAAACGCAGTGGACGACCCCTTTACTTCAGCATAATCAATTCGCTAGCTGTGGTGCAAAAGCTGACCACACTAGGCAGTACGATCGAATATTTACATACTGCAGACTTTAGCAATCCCTTCACTAGTTTACCTCATTCTTACATTATTGATAACCTATTCTACCTCATTAACCTCTGTTTCACGAATGCGGGAAAAGAATATATTGGTTTAAGTAAAAACCACACTTGGTATGCTAATGAGTTCACAGGTAATGTCATATCTTATACTAAGGATGAAGTCAAGGCGATTCTTCGGGTCATTCTTCAAGAAACATACATACGTTTTAGTGGATTACATTTTCAAGCAGGTGTACCAGTGGGCGGTAATGCTAGTCCTGATATTGCCGATCTCACATTGTCAGTCATGGAGTATCGGTTACTTCGTAAGAATCCCGGCATTCATCTTCATCTCTTTCGGTATATTGATGACATCCTAATTGTTAACTGCGTCAATTTTGCTGAAATTGCCAGTCACATCTTTGGCCCAGCCTGCAACTGAACACCACTTACTCTGGACAAACAGCCTGCTTTCTAGACCTCGAAATTTGCTCCCGCGAGGGAGATGTATTCTCAGCGTATACAACAAGACCTTGGACTACCCATTCACAGAAAATCACGGTGGCTATCCAGAGAGCGCTATGAACCAAACAAGGCAAGAAGGTGTCATTATATCGCAACTGCTCCGTTATGTACTCTTCCTTGACTGGGCTAGATGGCTTATAAGTATCTATAGGTATAAAACGTTTGATATTGCCAAAATTTAACCCTGCTTTCTCAGATTCTGCTTCAGAAATCGCTCAGTGCTTAGCAAATTTATCTTCCCTGATGATTCAGGAATTAAACGCTTAGTCAGCGCGCTCTTATAAAAATTGTTTACTCATAATTGGCATGTAATGATTTCCGTCTACATATTATTCTTATTCTTCTCTCACTCTGTCCGCGCTCTATCTCTTTGATTTCTCTCTCATTCACATATCTGTCCCGCAAATAAACTACATTGCAGTTCAGAACATGGCGGGTAGGAGGCTGTACTGATGATTCCCTCTCCTACGCGCACACATTGCTCAGTCTTTGTT